TTTTTCTATTACAAATGGAATATAATTTATTGGCTATTGATAATCCACACTCTCTTTCCCTCCCCTTTGGTATTTCCACTCCCTCCCTCATTCTTATCTTTTCCCATCAACGGATCTGGAAAGACTGGAAACAGACCAAAAGGGGTTTTGGCTAGAAAGAGTAATTGCAGAATTAGAAATGAAAACTCTTCTCATCTCCTCACTGCAATTATATTTAATGTTCATTATGTCAATTTTAAATGATACAAAATGCCTTCCCCAAAAGGCATCCTGATTTCAAGAAGTCAAAAGGGCACCTGGCATTAAACAACCTTGAGTCAATCCCGGTGGGATTAACTGGACTGAGTTTCTATATACTGCGCATGCTATGGATCTACTTTGATCACAGTAAGGAAAAAAAATGATAATAGATTTTTTTAAAAGAATTGCTGCACAGGGGTGTTCCATTTATTTTATATGGCAGAGTTTGATCTTGATAAAAACCTTTTAAAACATATTTTTCCCCCCACTATGGTAAAGATATATCTATTTTTGCGTTTCTTTAAGAAAAGAAAATGGGGATTGCTTACACGGGGAAAGAAAATTTTATTCTCCAACACTCCCTCCCATTCTACTAAACCATTTTAGTCGACATATGTTTGTTATCAGAGAGAGGTGCTGTGAACACACAGCCATTTTCTTAGCAGCTTTTTGACTGTATGTTACCATAGTCCCACAAGGCATTGGTCCTTTCCCATTGGGAAGTCATGAATAAGAGACTATGAAGCTTGCACGTCAGATCTTCCTCAATTAATCCACCATTAGCATGTTCGGGATCCACTACTGGATGGTTAACAGCAGCTTTTGTAACTGTACGCCGACCATATCCAATTATGCTCTGCTAAAAATGAACTCTTTGCAGACCAACCCTCTCGGCTGTCAGTATTTTCCGTTTTCCTATTTTAACGTTTGTGTATAGTGGCAGGCGACAGATGGTGTAGATCAGATCGATTTGATTGCATTAGATGATTTTTTTCCCTTCCCCACTCCTTTCTGGAAGCTCGCATCAGCTGAAGGCTATCGCCTGGGACTCCTCGGAAGCGTGAGCAAGCCGCCACGCGAAGGCACTGGGGCACAGCCAGCGCGAGGCGCCGAGGTCCCTTCCCAGGGCTTGTTAACACTGTAACCCAGCACTCGGAGAGAAGCAGCAGCTCCCACTGCCCAGAGCCTACCTCACCGCACATCAGATGACTCCCTGGCTTCTACACACAGTTGGAGTTCCGCTTGAAACCTGGATTTAGAGGGTAAGCACTTCAATCGAGATGGATTTGTGACAGTTACTTTGCCATACAGCAAGACAAATCTCAGCAAATGTAAAGAATGTAGGATGTGTGGGAGAGGGAGACTATGTTTACATCGAAAAATGTGTTTCTTTTTGTCTGAGAACGAGAGTATTATTCAGTAAAGATGTGTATACTCTTTTTCCATTGATTGTAAGAGTCGACTACCACCCTCCTGCCGATTTTTTCTCTCTCCTTGGTGTTTCCCCCTTTCTACTTGAGAGGGAAGGAGAGAGGGAGAGGGAGGGAGTCAAGGGGGAAGAGGGGGGGGGGGGGGAGAGAAAGAGAGAGAGAGAGAGAGAGAGAGAGAGAGAGACATTTCAGCTTTAGCTTAATTGGCTTATTTCCTCAAACCGATTGCTTTGTCACGTTTCTTTTTGTATATTTGGTTGCAAATTGAGAAGCGATTAACTGGGATGGGTGTTGGAGTGTGGGGGATAGCATAGGAAAGTAGTGGGAACCTGCAGTCAGTCGCGGTGGCCTTGAGAGATCAAAAGGTGCTGAAAGCCCCCTTCCCGCAAAACACACCTCTAGTTATTGAGGCGCGAGAGAAATGTAGATCCTAATAAACATGGCTTGCAGGAGTCGATGAACAAAGGTACTTAATGCGGACCTAAGCCTCCGCTGATATTGTTCCTCTAGCAATATCTAAATATTCAAAAGCGAAGTGTAAGTTGATCAACAAACGCCCTGATGGTATTGGGCTTTTTCCCTTTTCTGTTTTTGTGTAGAGGGTGGAGAAGCGGGGGAGGGTGGATGGGTGGGGGAAATCCGACAGCTTAAGGAGGCTTGAATTGAATATGCACCCAGCGGCAGTGGTCTCGTAGGAAATGGTGTTCTCGTAAGTCAGGCTGCCCCGCTGAAGCACGAGAGAGCTTTGGTTAGAGCTCAGAGCGTCAGTTCTGCTGCGAGTGCTGCCGGCAGTCTGCCCGGGTTGAGCTGTCCACTCGTCCAGGTGCTGAAGCTGGTGGAACATTGGGTAGGTAGGGAAAAGGCTGGCACTGCTACTTGGGTAGGAAGATAGCAGATCAACTGCGTTGTTCTAGTTTCTTAAAGCGTGTGAGTCTGTGGGTCAGTGCGTGTGTGTATTTTATTTTAATTGCGAGGAAGCAAAACTAAAGAAGACTACTTGGAAAGCATTGAAAAGCTGTGTGGGTATTTATGCTGTGATTCTGATGCCCTGTGTATTGGG